ATTTATTTTTCTCACAAATGTTCGTTACTGTTCATTTGATAGGTAACTTCCTTGTAGAATTTCATTTTATCAAAGTTGTTACACACTGGTAGAGTATCATGCGAAAATACTGCTTAGCATGAACATTTTCATAGTTATCTGGTGTCACAGTGACAAGTCATTGATATAGAACACTTTGTATTAATGACAGTCTCTGATACACAACTGACCAGCCAGTGATTCTTCAATTTCAACAAATCCTTTCGAAAATCTGAAATTATGAATAAACGTGAGGAAAAACATAATCATTGAAACTTTGTAGCAAGAAAGGGAAGCTAAACGTACTTGTTATTTATTTTACATAATCAAACTCAACACATTAACTCCATGTCTTTATTTGTTACTATGATTATCTGAAGGTGTTATCGTACTACTGATTGTTCAGTAGTTCATTAATTCGATATATGCACCATTATCATTGGGAAAATCGATATTAAACCTTTTTGAAACCACTATATTGTCATCACATCTGGAAGATAATTATATTAAGTGGCGAATAACAGGAATCCAGAATAAGATCTTCACCTTAAATGGGACCTGTCAAACTCGAAACCCTAAAAAGTGCCCAATGTCAGTATTTGTAGAGGTATCAGTTCATTCTGATTCCTTCAAAGTTTTGAACCTTATTATAAAGGCCAATGAATCTTTATAAATAGCTATCGCACACTATGTATTGCTTAATAATATTGTTCAACGTTTATACTCACACAAAAATAAGCTGCAGACATGTGATGAATAGGATCAGAAGTGTACACACATACGCTTACATAAAAAGTCAAGGTTGATAAGTAAATAATTAACACGACCAAAATGTGACTCAGGCAGAATGAATAAATTGGCCTGTCCGAAAGCTAGAATAAGTTATATAGGTTTGACATAACAACCGACACTACAGTAACATGAAAATCACAACGAGGGAGTAGTTTATATGAATGCCACCTAGTCGATGTTTTATACCTGGCTTACCAATGAAATTGATGAGTCGCAATAAATAACCGAAGGTTTGTCTATTGGAATTATAACCATGTTAGGGATGGAGTAGTGGTCGTACCTATTGGCAGTTTGCTGTGCCTATAATATAACAAGTGATAGGTACCAACGGGTTAAGATGATGAGTTGTAGTTATGTAGGGTATATCAGTGAAGGTAACAATGAGTAGCAACTGAACACGGGGAGATTTAACTGCTGTGATCAATGCATTGTAGAAACATGTTCTGAATATAAAGCTTATTGAAGATGCCACGGCTATTTGGAGTTTGACAACGCTTATGTCAGTAACACTTTTCACCATTAATCGTACCCACCAAGTGAAATCAAAAGACAGAAGCGTGGAGGTTCGAAGATATATTTGATAGGCTATCAATATATTGAGGATCGTCTGATCTAATCTGGCTAGCGCTTGCAAGGGTTGTTGAGCACGGCGTTCCCACTCGTGATCTGATGCGGATGCCTGACCGAGAGCCTTCAGCTAGGTGAGTCTATTAAAACGAATATAGTCAGCATCTAATGTCGAGGACTTACATAGCTACTTCTTTTGGGGATTTATTTAGCTCTACAATATATTTGGAAGATTTTCGATGCGTTTAGATGCATGTGATATAAGCTGACTAGTAATTGCAAGGGATATGTAGCACAGAGTATTCACTTGTGATCTGGTGCTGGATGCGTTATTAGGCATTTCATATAGCAGTCCTTGAGGCTCAAAAACATATTGACTCAATATGCGACGAGACTAGCCAAGACGGACGGTGATTCTAGTCCCCGGCCAATGAGGATAGCTTTCCCACCCTCCCATATGGTGGCTGCAACTCTGGAGGCACTTTATGCCAACAGACGTCGGTTGCGAACTGGAATCCATATGCACCCGGATAGACCACATGACGCCAGGATCAAGTGCAAAGGCAAGTTGAGGCTGACCATTCCACTTGTGGACTGTTTTGATCACACAAAAACGTGTAAAGGTCAGGGAATATCAACTCGGAAGATCTTGTATAGGTAGGCTGCCCGTCTATTCACATGAGGCTCATACAGACGAACAGGAAGGAGGAACTCACACGCTTCAAATTGAAAGCATGAACTGCTTATACATGAGCGCCGCGAGTTTACCAAATAAAATGGATGGGCTAAGTGAAATTAGCAATGCCAATAATGCTCATGTCATAGGAATATCTGAAACTTTGATATCACAGTTTACGGATCAGGAGCTGGCAATACCTGGTATGTCTTTGTTTCACAATGACAGAAATACAGAAATTGGTGGTGGAGCACCCTTATACTTACGATCACGCCTGGAAGTACATCAAGCGCACAAACAAGAGTTTATTAATCCCGATTAATCCGTATGGTTCTCTGTAAGATTTTATACCACCTCGAGATGTCTAGTTGGGGTCATCTACAGGAAGCTCACTGCTGACATCGAGTATGATAGTCGTATGCTGGAAGAACTACCCCGCTCTACGCGTCTCGGATTCACTCATATCCTGATTCTAGGGGACTTCAATCTTCCTAACGTTAATTTCGCGGAACATACATATATTGGAGGTGAAAACTCAACCTAAGCCCGGTTTTTCAACCTCACTGAGGATCTGGTGTTATACAAAAATGTGAAGTCAGCAAGTAGTTGGTGAAACAGTCAGACGCCGTCGCGCTTAAACTGGGTATTTACAAACGATGAATCCCTATTTGACAACCTCTCAATTCTGGCTCCCCTGGGAAAAAGCGATCACGCCGTCATAACCCTCAGTTTTGTTAGCAAAACTGAGCTAAGATATCCCACCTTCAACAGGCAATGGAAGTTCAAACGGTTGAAGGTGTCAGCTCTACAGGACTATCTAAAACAGGTGGATCGGGATGTTCACGCTCAACTTGGTGTGGATACTCATTGAACTTTCTCACTACACACGCTCTTATGTGCTACAAAGCAGTCTGTTCTTCAAAGGGTTCCCAAAATCTACAAGCAACCTACAATCATCAAGAACAACACTTCGTCGGGCAGAATACAAACGAACTGATAACAACGGCGCGAACGGGCAATACAAAAATATAAGGAACAAATGCACGAAGGCTATAAGAGAAGACAAGCCTCATTACCAGATAAAGCTTATGCATAAATTTGTCTCCAATACGGTAAACTTATTCCGTTATGCAGCCTCTCTTCGACAAGCCAAAACTGGAGTTTCCCAACTGCTAGGTCCTAGTGGCCCGACAAAAAACGACGGCGACGCCGCTAACCTTTTGGCTGAACAATACTCTCGGACATTTCAACCGACCCACATCAACTATATTGATGAAAGCTTTATCTGCAACTGCACAGGACTTTCTGATGTAAACCTGAGCTCTTACTTGGTGTCCCGGAAACCGCAGCACCTAAGAAAAGACACTTCTCCTGGCCCATATATGGTTCATTCTGCTACACTGAGGGAAGCAGCTTCAGTCCTGGCATCACCGCTTAGCGTGATGTTCTCACACTCGCTAAGTCGAAGCAAACTACCGGAAATTTCGAGGCTGCTCACATCACACCAATTTTCAAAGGAGGTCGACGCAGCGAACCTTCAAGCTACCGACCAGTGGCTCTTCTCTCTATACCTTCAAAAATCATGGAGTTCCTGATATGCGATGATATATATGGCTAGTTACTGTCCTTAAATTTCCTCTCACCCCAACAGTATGGCTTCAGGAAGGGTCGTTCTTGTATAGCCAACCTGCTGACTGCGGTGGACAGATTAACATGCATCCTTGGTCTCAAGGGGAAGGTGACATCATTTACCTTGACTTCTCAAAAGCTCTTGATAGAGTCAACCATGTATGTCAAATCAATAAGCTCAAACGACTGGGTATCAGATCACCTCCTATGATTGGCTCACTTCATATCTGAAAAATCGACATTTTAAGGTCAGGGTTAACTTCACCTTCTCTCAGGCTATGGAATGTCCTAGTGGGGTCCCTCAGGCCTCAGTACTAGGACCTCTTCCCTCCTTTATTTATATAAGTGATCTTCCACAGCAGGTGACGTCAGACTCATTACTCTTTGCTGATGATGTGAAACTCTGGAGAGAGATACGCAACCAAGACGATATACAGGCACTTTAAGAGGTTCTGACTCGACTTCAGAGTTGGGTAGACGATAACGGACTTACCTTTAACTCTTCAGAGTGTAAAATAATCCATCTGTGACATATTGTAGACTACAGTTAAAACTTAAGAAACTCCTTTCTAGAAGTATCCCGAGTCGAAAAAGATTTATGAGTCCTGGTACCCTATGATTTAAAGTCTTACGTTAACTGTGACAGAAACGCCTTTCGATCAAACCTTGCACTCGTAACACTGAAGCTCATTTTGGCCAGTTTGACAGAAAAACTTTCCACATAATCTTCAACAGTTTTAGTCGTCCCATTTACAGTACGGAAACATTGTATTTCTCTCCTCAGTCCAAAAGGATAAGGACACTCTGGAGCGTATCCAACGGCGAGCCACGAAATCAGTTCGGGGACTCAAATTCAAATCTTATGAAAAACGCCTCCAATCACTTAACCTTTACCCATTAGAGTATAGGCGTCCTAGAGGTGACCTCCTAATGACTTACAGTATCCTTAACACTTCTGGACATCCTCATAAACACCTACTTAAGCTTGGTTCCAACTCTAAATTAAGGGGTAACACCCAGAAATCGGAGATACAACATAGTAAAACGGACTGTAGACACAACTTCTACTCCTTAAGAGCTGTCAAATTCTGGAATTCGCTGCCGGTTGAGCTAGTCCGAACGACTTCTCAGGAGTCCTTTAAGAGGCAACTTGATCTATTCTTAAGGACTAAGGATAGTATCATACTATGATTTACCACTTTGTTTTCTCTCTTTTATCGTTAACATACCTAGGTTCCTGCCCGGAGTTATTCGTGATCCCCTGCTACTAGAAACGGAAGCCTGTTAAGCGAAAGCGTCTTCTGTTCCGTCCACAACCATTTGAACCATTTGAATGAGATTTTGAGGGTTGAAGGTCGCACAAGTTCGAAATGTCCTTCGGGAGATTATGTAGCTCTTCAGTCGTCAAGCTCTTCCTGAGAATTAATAGTCCGACAGACTCAATCCTTAGGCCGTTAGGAACAAATGCTTCAAAGGAACAAGCCATATATCAATCACAAGTGCGGTCAGTTCCAAATACAAAAAGTACGTAATAAATAGCTATGAAAATGATCTGATTTTTCTGTATCTGTGAATTAAAGATAACTGCGCAAAAGTTTATTTTTAGCAGAAGCTCTTATATCCTTCTATAATCTAATTCCTAGTGTGTTATCTTCAGTCTTCAGTAATGAGGATTGTAGGTCAGTTTACTTGTGTCAAACTTTGCTGCTTATTTCCTATTAAAAATCCAGCTTCTCTTCAAAAGTGTTAGCTGATAGGACTGACACCGCGTGTTCTGTTAGGGAGTTTCAGTTATCGGTAAGGAAAACGGATTCTCACTCAGTTTATTTGATTTATGTTTTTTGAACCTTATTGGCTTGGATATGAATGGTCTTGGAGGGAGAAAAAACGTTGGTCATGTTAGCACTCAACCCGTCATTTGAGATGCAACGTATCAGTATGACGTTACCTCACGTTCTGCTATAAGGGTAAAAGTTGTCAGCGTTTTGCGATTTCATAGCAAAGAAATCTGAGAAGATCTGACTCTAACTTAGTCCTCACACGTTGAACACGCTCAAAAGTGATAGTATACCTAGTAATACATGGACTGGATGCCCAAATGCAGTACTCTTAGTGAGGTCTCACACATGTGGGGTATACAATTTAAAGCATATCTACGTCAAAACATTTGGACTCTCAACTAAATGACTAAAGCACCCTAATGCTTTTGGCGGCTGTTGCATTGTAATGCGTAGTTGTTTTCAAGTCATGATCCAATATCACTATATTCTTTACCTGCATGCGTGGAAGTGTATGATGGTAGCTATTACTGCGTCCGATGTGCATTAGCAAACTTTCTAGAATTAACTTAGGAACCTAAACTTTGGGATCATTTTACTTATTTTCTAGATCAGCTTGAAAACCAACATAATCAGCCTGACCACTTGTTTAGCAAATGTTGGCGTTTTCCGCAAACAAAAGGGTCGACGAGTTAAACATCTTGATAATTCATTTAAATAGAGAAGACAAAATAGGGGACATGAGTTGGTAGCTTTGATTACTCCACTTTTATGTGGTTTTACTCAGATAGTGCCCCATTCGCTCTCACCATATGTCTTTGGACACAGGGAAGATCTCGTATCCAGTGTTTAATGGCACCTGTTATTTCAACGCTGGAGAGCTTCTGCATAAGTCCCAAATGAGACACCTTTGAAGAAGTCGGTGAATATCATATCGGGAGACAAACCGCTGCTTTTGTCTTCTGTCCAGTCCTTTCTCACAACTAATAAGTTAAGCATGAATGTTTATTTTGGAACCCGTGTTATTTGGAAGTTAACAGATTGTGTGGTTGTGCTTGATTTATCAACTTCGTCCGAATTATTTTTCCATATATCTTAACCGCATTGCTAGTTACGCTGGTAAGTTGGTGTTTAGGCTCAGTCTTTCTCTTATCATGTCCCTTTGGTTAAGGTATGTTTTGAACAGCATCGTGAGTAGTTCCGAAAGTGTCCACAAGGGATGACAGCAATTGTATGTATAACCTGTCAGGACCCGGTGACCTACTAGACTTAAGGTTAATAAACGTTCTCAGTCACAAGTACTGGTCCTGTAACTGGCATCGCAGTAGTGCGGTTATGAAAGATATTGGCAAGAATACTTGTAGATTAGACTTCGCCAAATTCTAAATGCTAGGTGAAGCAGCATTCATCTCACAGTTGTAGGTTGGTAAACGTTAATGGACTTTGATAACGTCCTGGATGGACGGAAACAAAAACAAAAATGGACTAAAGTGTCTCAGATTTTGTCTAATAAAGTTTAATCGGTTTGCAAATAATCAGGGTTTGTGAGATGAGTAAACATGGGACTGCTGTGTTCCTTAAAGATATTAGATTCAACACGACCTTAGAGACAAACGATTACAGATGGATGGCGTAATAGTAAATCGAACACCTTAGGGGGCTCGCTAGTTCCCCATAGACTGTTTTGCTGGAACAAGTTGAACTTAATATTGAGTGCTCTTAATTTTACTAAAAACAGTGATCGTGACAGAATTAAAGTCGTGAAGAACAAGTGGTCCTGTTATTTTTAGGAGTTTTTATTGGGCCTCAACATTGGTAAATTACTGGGTATTGTGGCTGTAGTTTTAAATCACAGTTCCTGATTAATCTTAATCATTGTAGTAAAACATGTAAGCTTTTTAATTGAAGTCAGTTGTTAAATATGAAGTTAGTCATCAACACCTAAAATGCCACATTCCAAAGCCAGAAAGTAAAAGAGTCAGGCTAAAGTACACATAGAACCGGGATGGGAGGTATATATCATGATTATTCGAAACGCTTGGCGACAACTAGAATAGAGAACCCAGGACAGAGTTGGTTAAAGATCCTTGGTCAGCGGTCAATGCCTCGAGTAGAGTAACAGGCGTTAGGATATATCCTTACTATTTATGTTTTCCAGTTGTGTAAATGTTCTTTTCATCGCACTGATTAAATGGATTAGAATGAATTTTAATAGTTCAAAGAAATCCCGTTTTATTTCATATGAATACTTTGCACTCCAACTTCGCTTGCTCACAATTTCTCAGGACTACTTAATAACCTTACAAAGTATAATATGAAACTGCAATATGTCTCTGTTCATAAAAAAATTAGTTAACAAAGTACGTCTGTAACAGCCGAATGTATTGTTCATTTGTTTGTTTGGTAAATATCTAGGAAATCGATATTCAGTTTACATTGGATTCCCGACCGAAGCTGCTACCTTGACGCGGTGGTCGGGCTTGCCTATCGTGATGACCCAACCGAGCTATATTGGCTGGAACATATGTTCCTGTAGGTTCTACCATGCCAGGCAGGTCGATTGGAGAACGGTAAGACTAAAAGCAGCAACTCAAGGTCTGAGGGCGAAGTCGTACTGCTGACTGTAGAGGGGTGTGACAGCAGTAAGGTGTTTCCCTCGGACAACCAGCATGTACAGCGATGCTGCCTTCCCACAAGGAGGGAGGGGTTAGAAAAGGTCGACCCTAAAAATGTCACACCTCACCTTACCTCACGGATTTCCGTCTCCGGCGGTAAGGCCCTTTGAAGAACGGAGCTAACACGTTAAAAACCTTCCACGAAAAGGCCGTGCGCGACCGGCCTCAAGCAGTTGTCCCTTGGGCTCTGCGGTCACGCTCCCAGGTCGTCAAGACCAACACTAATCCAATTTCCTTTTCAGGTTCCTCAAGAAATACCCTTCCACGGTGTGGGCAGCCGGGAAGTGATATCAGCCCTCATACCCGTAACAGCACACGAGACCAAGTTGGTCACATTCAAATCCTTCCTACACCTCCTAATACCTCTCTTATCTCCATGACTAACCCTCCTCACGTCTCTTTATCACCTCGCACCGCTAGGGCAAACGATTCGAGTACGCGGAACGCCATTCCTGGTCTCCTGAAACCACGCTCTAAACTACACGTAGGAGCTTTTAACGTACGAACACTGTGCCAAATAGGACAACAGGCTTCCTTAGCTAGGACTTTAGAATCTCGCGCCATCGATGTGTGCTGCGTCTCCGAAACGCGCATACAGGATCCTAGTAGCGTCATTCATTTGACCTCACCATGCCAAAATAAAGAACCGACTCGATTCACACTTCGTGTATCTGGAAGCCCTGATTCTGCTTCCCGTGGCCTCGCCGGCGTAGGTATAGCATTGAGTCCTAGGGCAGAACTAGCTCTCTTAGAGTGGATCCCAGTAGACAGTCGTTTGTGCGCTGTCCGACTGAACGGAACAGTAAGGATCCGAAAAGATAGGGACACTCGTCGTTGCCTCTTCGTCGTCTCTGCCTATTCTCCCACTGACTGCAGCTCAGATGATGTAAAAGATGAGTTTTACAGAAAGCTTTCCGACCTTCTCCGAAAAGCTAGGCGCTCGGATGTAGTAATAATGGCCGGTGACTTTAATGCTCAAGTAGGTAAACTAAGCGATAGGGAAAGACACCTAGGTGGATCTTATGGTGTCGTGGCTCAAAGAACAGATAATGGCGACCGTCTGTTGCAGCTATGCTCAGATAACCGCCTGTTCCTTGCAAATACTAACTTTAAGCATAAGGAAAAACATCTTTTAACATGGCGACCCCCTAATTCGTCCCAACGTTGGACCCAAATAGATCACATCGCTATCAGCCACCGATGGAGGGGCTCGATAGAAGACTGTCGCTCATTCTGGAGCACATGCTTAGATTCAGATCATGCTCTAGTGCGAGCGCGTATTTGCCTGCGTCTTACTGGACGTAGGAAAGACGCTGCAAGGAAACCTCTTAGGGCCTACTTAATGATAGTCAAGCTAAGAGTATATTTCAGGAACAACTAGGAAAACAGTTAGGCAGCCATGTATGTGATGCCCACCCCGAGGCAGCATGGAATGATATCCGAAAAGCTGTGGAAACAGCAGTGATATCTGCTAGTAAGGTAAACCGAAGGTTAGGGAGCAACACTGGATCTCAGCAGCATCTATCGCACTGATAGATGCTCGGAAACTCATTCCACCTGGCTCTGAACATAATGAAGAGCGGAGTCAGCTTAAGCGCAAGCTGACAAGAAGTCTACGCAATGATCGTGAACAGTGGTGGGTAGCGAAAGCAAGAGAGATGGAAAAGGCAGCGGCAATAGGTAATAGCAGACAATTGTTCAGACTCGTTAAGGAAACCGGTATTAGGAACCCGACTGTTAGCGAAACAATCTCAGAGAAAGATGGACATATTATTCATTCTCAATCCAGGAGATTGGATCGATGGGCAGAACACTTTAGGGATCAGTTCAACTGGCCTTCAGCCACACTTCGGTTTCCCACGATCTCCAGTCAACCTGAATGGCAAGTTAATGTAGGTCCTCCGTCTCTTTACGAAGTTGAAAAAGCCATAGGAAATCTGAAACGAGGGAGAGCAGCAGGCCCTGACAGGTTTACTCCTGAGATTTTTAAGGATGGTGGTCCAGTATTAGCAATGAGATTAACTGAGGTCTTAGGTAGAATTTGGGAACTGGACGTAATCCCATCTGACTGGTCTCAATCACTGATTGTGCCAGTCTATAAGAAAGGACAAAAGTCCTCTTGTGACAATCACAGAGGAATCAGTTTGACTAATATAGTGTCTAAAATATTAGCTTCAATAATACTTCGACGCCTAATCAAAGCTCGTGAAGAGCAGACTAGAGAAAACCAGGCTGGTTTTCGACCTGGACGTGGTTGTATAGATCAGATATTCACACTACGTCAGGTTCTAGAACACAGACACATTCAGACGCCCCACAATGGTAGTATTTCTCGACCTTAAGGCGGCATTCGACTCTGTTGATCGTGAGGTTCTATGGCAGTGTTTGTCACTGAAAGGAGTACCAAAGAAGTACATTAACCTTATAAAGGCTCTCTACTCGAACACAACTGGTCGAGTGAGAGCTTATGGCGAACTGTCATCAGAATTGATTACCTCAAGTGGTGTTCGTCAGGGCTGTCCACTCTCCCATTCTTGTTCAACTTTGTCATTGACGTACTTTTAGAGATAACACTCTCCTCATCTAAATTTACAGGGGTTGAACTTCTACCGGGAGGTTCACTTGTTGACTTAGAATATGCTGATGACATAGTTTTATTTGGTGAAGACGCTGACAAAATGCAGAGTCTTCTGACCACTCTAAGCAACAATGCAAGCATGTTCGGGATGCGATTCTCCCCTCGAAATGCAAAATGTTGCTTCAGGATTGGGTTACATCGACACCCGAACTAATGATAGGGAGTGAAGTAGTTGAGCGTGTCGACCGCTTCACTTATCTTGGAAGTCTCATCAGCCCTTGTGGTCTGGTGTGACGAAATCTCAGCACGGATACAGAAGGCTCGACTAGCTTTTGCCAACTTGCGTCATTTATGGCGTAGGCGAGATATCCGTCTATCAACCAAAGGACGTGTTTACTGCGCAGCAGTTCGTTCCGTCCTACTTTATGGCAGTGAAACATGGCCGGTAAGAGTAGAGGATATTCGTAGGTTACTAGTATTTGATCATAGGTGTCTTCGAAACATTGCTCGTATATCATGGGACCATCGAGTAAGTAATGCAGTTGTTAGGAAACGGGTACTAGGTAAGGATGGCAAATCAATTGATGAAGTAGTGAAACTTCATCAGTTGAGATGGCTGGGACACGTGTTACGTATGCCCAACGACCGACTGCCTCGACGTGCTATGTTCAGTGGTATAGGAGTAGGTTGGAAGAAAGCTAGGGGCGGCCAACCAAAACATGGCACAAGTCCATGAAGTCACTGACAAGTGGACTGAGTCATGTTGGTAGGTGTAGACTACCTGGTTGGGGACCGCGAGATGATAGCAACCGATGGTTAGAGACCCTGAATGACATGGCTCAAAATCGTTTGCAATGGCGCAGGTGCATCCACTCTTTGTGTTCTCCCAAATTTTGATCTCCTTATTCCTCCTTGTCTCTTTTTTTCTCTTTCCAAATTTATTTCACTGTATTATACTCTTTAAATAACATCTCCAAACACTAATCTTCCCGATTACTGCTTATACTCTTATTACCTCTACCACTACGGGATTTGAATCGACAACTGCATCTCTGTGCTAATGTGGTGTGGCAACTCGAACTGATGTACGTACGTACGAAGTTCTACGTTGTTATTGACTGACTGACTTACATTGGACTTTCAGAAATTTGGCAATTGTCACTCTTATTTTAGTTTATGCTTTTACTTAGGTGTTGGTTGTATTTTTACTGATCAATTTAATTGGCGGTGTTCTCCCATATTTCCAACTCCTCATTCCTGTTTTTCATCTCTCAGGAGAATATCTAGAAAACTTGTTACTTCAGCAACCACTTTCTTCTTCTGATGCTCGCGTTCTAAAGGTTGCCGTGATAGGCTGTCCAAATAGTGGAAAGTCAAGTTTGGTAAATATGCTTACCAAGTGGAAAGTTTGCGCGGTGTCTGGAAAAGCCCACACAACTCGGTCGAAACAGACAGCTACGTATTTTCAAGATAATGTCCAATTGGTAAGCCTGTATGTATATAGAGGTTTTCGAAGAGTGATTTTTTGAATTAGGAACTAATGTTAGGCAATTTTCTTGTACTTTAATAATGGGTAACGTTGCGGTGTATGCTACTTATGCCGACAGACAAAAGTAGTATGTAACACCAATCACAAGTGGAATGCGTGACAGCAAAAGGTTAAAAAGATCGAATTGAAGTGAACACGAATGAAGGGTTGGTGAGGTTTGTAAGAGGCAATTGATGGAAGATGTGCGAATGAAGTATTTAATGTATGGTTTTCATATTTTACAAAGACATTCTGTACTTTTGTATTAAACAATAAGTTGACCATTCCCACCAAGTCTTCGTTCACTACATGGCCAACAAATAGGTTAACAGTATATTCGCTCACAAACAGTACACAAATTGAAGTGGTTTATTCCGATCACCTGTTGTTTTTAAGGATTGTAATATTGCTGAGCGAGTTTTTTTTGTTCATCGACTGATTTTATTATTAATAGACACTGCACAATGTAGATGCTGATCTTCTATTCCCAATGCCCGTGAAACAGCTGCATGTACCAAATTTCCTTATTGAATGATGACAATGTAATGAATCGATTAACTGAGTACTCAACAGTCAATAACTAATATGGGTAGGTCATACTTTGCATATTATAGCTGCCTATCAGGCTCGAAAAAGCACTTATTTTTGCAATAAGTAAGGACCGAAATGAAGCCATTGGTGGGCAAATGAGTCAATCAGTCAGTCAGCTACAACATATATGTGCATCGGTCCAAGTTGCCGTTAGCGCAACATGATGAACACCGGATTCATAGAAGACTTGGTAATATGTTATCGACAAACCAACTACTGATTTTAACAGGTTAGAGTCGATAAAGATTCGCATCAGTCCATGAAGATTTTTACTGTTTAACTCAACTATGTTTATAGGTATGGACTACGCAGTTGGGATCTTTATGCTTTTCGTAACTAATAGTCAGAAACTTTGAGTGGTTCGGCTAAAATCGTTCTCAATGGCGCAGGTGTTTTAATGTTTTTCCTCCCTTGGATCCCAAGTCCCCAAACCACCTAGTAGCCTTTTTGTATTTCTAACCTGCCGATCCATATCCATTTTTATAATCATATCTTCGGTAGCTAGTCCTTTCTAATACCACTTATACTGTTACTGCCTGTACTGTGGGATTTGTTCCGATAATTTCATCTCGTTAAGCTGTTGGGGCGTTATAACGTGAACCGAGTTACACTTATCCTAAGTTCTACAATGCGTATGATTGACTGAAGGAGTTATAGGCTACCAGTATTTGGTTCTAGATGGGTTAAAACTCATTTTAGGTACATTTTCACAATTCGACTGGAAAGAATGTGCTAAAATGTATTTTCTCTAGCACACAGAAATCGTTTGACTAAACTGTACATTTGTAATAAAGAACAATAGATGAATTTTTTATTCATATGATAAGTGAGGGAAAAAATTAGCGCTTAGCTATCAGTCTCTTAGTATATTTAATCTATTTTAATAATATACTACTGATTCAGTCTACGCAGATTTGAATGCGATTAACTTTGGGAAACGGTAGTTTTCAGTCATCGGTCCTATATGTGTGAATAACTTGTAAATCGAAAGTAGTGGAAACATGTCAGTGTGTTTTTACAAGTTGTTGTGTTTCCTATTATCGGCATGACAAACATAAATGAAGGAAATTTTTGTTGGATTTGCTTGAAAATATAACAGATTGTATCATTATATTCAGTTTTACGCGTTCTAATCCTAATTCGTTTAAATATTACTTGTGAAAATGTTTCATCTCGCTAGGCTTTTGTCGACTTACCCGGACTTGTTAGCAGATCAAAAGCCTCCAGGTAAGGTATACTTTTGATGAGGCTTAACTCAATTGGGGCTTTCAGATTTAAGCTTGAGAAAACGTTCATTCGGGATCCACATTCTGCTATTTTTGATTCTGATTTAAGTAAGTTATTCACAGAAGTTGTATTTACATTTCCAAATACACTTAAGTACTCTAATCAGAACAGTTATTTTTTAACTATTTATCCACATGACTAATTTTCCGAGGAATTCAGTTTTACGTGAATTAAATATCTCTGTTCTACTTCAATTTTTATTTTACAGAGTTCTCACTATGTAAAGTGTAATATCTCTCTAATATAGGGATAAAAAGCGATTTACGTAATGTACGTTTCCAAATTTTAGAAACATATTTATTTATAATTGAGTTCCACTTTCGAGGTTGATTATCAAATTTTGTGGCTTGTCTCTTTTTCATTGATGTACTTTAATTTCTACTTGCAAGTTTAATAAAAAAAATGTTAGCATTAACTAGTAGGAACTAAAATGCCAACAATTGTTTTCTTCATTTAGTGAATCACTGTAAACTCCAGAGCTTGATTCAATTATGGGTTTCACCTAAGACCCATCCTAACCTAGGTTCATTATATGAGTGTGGATACTTTTATTTTCTGACATTACTTAGTTATACGTCACTCACTCAGTCAGTCAATAACAACGTAGAACTTCGTACGTACGTACATCAGTTCGAGTTGCCACACCACATTAGCACAGAGATGCAGTTGTCGATTCAAATCCCGTAGTGGTAGAGGTAATAAGAGTATAAGCAGTAATCGGGAAGATTAGTGTTTGGAGATGTTATTTAAAGAGTATAATACAGTGAAATAAATTTGGAAAGAGAAAAAAAGAGACAAGGAGGAATAAGGAGATCAAAATTTGGGAGAACACAAAGAGTGGATGCACCTGCGCCATTGCAAACGATTTTGAGCCATGTCATTCAGGGTCTCTAACCATCGGTTGCTATCATCTCGCGGTCCCCAACCAGGTAGTCTACACCTACCAACATGACTCAGTCCACTTGTCAGTGACTTCATGGACTTGTGCCATGTTTTGGTCTGGCCGCCCCTAGCTTTCTTCCAACCTACTCCTATACCACTGAACATCGCACGTCGAGGCAGTCGGTCGTTGGGCATACGTAACACGTGTCCCAGCCATCTCAACTGATGAAGTTTCACTACTTCATCAATTGATTTGCCATCCTTACCTAGTACCCGTTTCCTAACAACTGCATTACTTACTCGATGGTCCCATGATATACGAGCAATGTTTCGAAGACACCTATGATCAAATACTAGTAACCTACGAATATCCTCTACTCTTACCGGCCATGTTTCACTGCCATAAAGTAGGACGGAACGAACTGCTGCGCAGTAAACACGTCCTTTGGTTGATAGACGGATATCTCGCCTACGCCATAAATGACGCAAGTTGGCAAAAGCTAGTCGAGCCTTCTGTATCCGTGCTGAGATTTCGTCACACCAGACCACAAGGGCTGATGAGACTTCCAAGATAAGTGAAGCGGTCGACACGCTCAACTACTTCACTCCCTATCATTAGTTCGGGTGTCGATGTAACCCAATCCTGAAGCAACATTTTGCATTTCGAGGGGAGAATCGCATCCCGAACATGCTTGCATTGTTGCTTAGAGTGGTCAGAAGACTCTGCATTTTGTCAGCGTCTTCACCAAATAAAACTATGTCATCAGCATATTCTAAGTCAACAAGTGAACCTCCCGGTAGAAGTTCAACCCCTGTAAATTTAGATGAGGAGAGTGTTATCTCTAAAAGTACGTCAATGACAAAGTTGAACAAGAATGGGGAGAGTGGACAGCCCTGACGAACACCACTTGAGGTAATCAATTCTGATGACAGTTCGCCATAAGCTCTCACTCGACCAGTTGTGTTCGAGTAGAGAGCCTTTATAAGGTTAATGTACTTCTTTGGTACTCCTTTCAGTGACAAACACTGCCATAGAACCTCACGATCAACAGAGTCGAATGCCGCCTTAAGGTCGAGAAATACTACCATTGTGGGGCGTCTGAATGTGTGTCTGTGTTCTAGAACCTGACGTAGTGTGAATATCTGATCTATACAACCACGTCCAGGTCGAAAACCAGCCTGGTTTTCTCTAGTCTGCTCTTCACGAGCTTTGATTAGGCGTCGAAGTATTATTGAAGCTAATATTTTAGACACTATATTAGTCAAACTGATTCCTCTGTGATTGTCACAAGAGGACTTTTGTCCTTTCTTATAGACTGGCACAATCAGTGATTGAGACCAGTCAGATGGGATTACGTCCAGTTCCCAAATTCTACCTAAGACCTCAGTTAATCTCACTGCTAATACTGGACCACCATCCTTAAAAATCTCAGGAGTAAACCTGTCAGGGCCTGCTGCTCTCCCTCGTTTCAGATTTCCTATGGCTTTTTCAACTTCGTAAAGAGACGGAGGACCTACATTAACTTGCCATTCAGGTTGACTGGAGATCGTGGGAAACCGAAGTGTGGCTGAAGGCCAGTTGAACTGATCCCTAAAGTGTTCTGCCCATCGATCCAATCTCCTGGATTGAGAATGTATAATATGTCCATCTTTCTCTGAGATTGTTTCGCTAACAGTCGGGTTCCTAATTCCGGTTTCCTTAACAAGTCTGAACAATTGTCTGCTATTACCTATTGCCGCTGCCTTTTCCATCTCTCTTGCTTTCGCTACCCACCACTGTTCACGATCATTGCGTAGACTTCTTGTCAGCTTGCGCTTAAGCTGACTCCGCTCTTCATTATGTTCAGAGCCAGGTGGAATGAGTTTCCGAGCATCTATCAGTGCGATAGATGCTGCTGAGATCCAGTGTTGCTCCCTAACCTTACGGTTTACCTTACTAGCAGATATCACTGCTGTTTCCACAGCTTTTCGGATATCATTCCATGCTGCCTCGGGGTGGGCATCACATACATGGCTGCCTAACTGTTTTCCTAGTTGTTCCTGAAATATACTCTTAGCTTGACTATCATTAAGTAGGCCCTAAGAGGTTTCCTTGCAGCGTCTTTCCTACGTCCAGTAAGACGCAGGCAAATACGCGCTCGCACTAGAGCATGATCTGAATCTAAGCATGTGCTCCAGAATGAGCGACAGTCTTCTATCGAGCCCCTCCATCGGTGGCTGATAGCGATGTGATCTATTTGGGTCCAACGTTGGGACGAATTAGGGGTCGCCATGTTAAAAGATGTTTTTCCTTATGCTTAAAGTTAGTATTTGCAAGGAACAGGCGGTTATCTGAGCATAGCTGCAACAGACGGTCGCCATTATCTGTTCTTTGAGCCACGACACCATAAGATCCACCTAGGTGTCTTTCCCTATCGCTTAGTTTACCTACTTGAGCATTAAAGTCACCGGCCATTATTACTACATCCGAGCGCCTAGCTTTTAGGAACAGGTCGGAGAGCTTTCTGTAAAACTCATCTTTTACATCATCTGAGCTGCAGTCAGTGGGAGAATAGGCAGAGACGACGAAGAGGCAACGACGAGTGTCCCTATCTTTTCGGATCCTTACTGTTCCGTTCAGTCGGACAGCGCACAAACGACTGTCTACTGGGATCCACTCTAAGAGAGCTAGTTCTGCCCTAGGACTCAATGCTATACCTACGCCGGCGAGGCCACGGGAAGCAGAATCAGGGCTTCCAGATACACGAAGTGTGAATCGAGTCGGTTCTTTATTTTGGCATGGTGAGGTCAAATGAATGACGCTACTAGGATCCTGTATGCGCGTTTCGGAGACGCAGCACACATCGATGGCGCGAGATTCTAAAGTCCTAGCTAAGGAAGCCTGTTGTCCTATTTGGCACAGTGTTCGTACGTTAAAAGCTCCTACGTGTAGTTTAGAGCGTGGTTTCAGGAGACCAGGAATAACGTTCCGCGTACTCGAATCGTTTGCCCTAGCGGTGCGAGATGATAAAGAGACGTGAGAAGGGTTAGTCATGGAGATAAGAGAGGTATTAGGAGGTGTAGGAAGGATTTGAATGTGACCAAATTGGTCTCGTGTGCTGTTACGGGTATGAGGGCTGATATCACTTCCCGGCTGCCCACACCGTGGAAGGGTATTTCTTGAGGAACCTGAAAAGGAAATTGGATTAGTGTTGGTCTTAACGACCTGGGAGCGTGACCGCAGAGCCCAAGGGACAACTGCTTGAGGCCGGTCGCGCACGGCCTTTTCGTGGAAGGTTTTTAATGTGTTAGCTCCGTTCTTCAAAGGGCCTTACCGCCGGAGACGGAAATCCGTGAGGTAAGGTGAGGTGTGACATTTTTAGGGTCGACCTTTTCTAACCCCTTCCTTCCTTGTGAGAAGGCAGCATCGCTGTAGATGCTGGTTGTCCGAGGGAAACACCTTACTGCTGTCACACCCCTCTACAGTCAGCAGTACGACTTCGCCCTCAGACCTTGAGTTGCTGCTTTTAGTCTTACCGTTCTCCAATCGACCTGCCTGGCATGGTAGAACCTACAGGAATATATGTTCCAGCCAATATAGTTCGGTTGGGTCATCACGATAGGCAAGCCCGACCACCGCGTCAAGTTAGCAGCTATGGTCGGGACATACTTCACTCCGTAACTTAGTGTTCGTTTCATTCTTCATACTTCGGGTTCTGAGGTAATAATATTAGACACCTAATAGATTAGTAACCTAGCTTCATAAAGTTTATCTCTTTAGTGTATTGATGTTTCCTGTTTTAAAATCCATTAACGTTTTATTTCCTAACTTATCAGCTAAGGTTCTTTCTGAAGTTTTACAACGATAGCAATCGACATTCGTCTGTTTATTAACGGTCTCATGTCTGCCTCACCTCTTGTCTGTTTAATCAGAAGAGATACATTCGCCTCTGAGGCTAAAGGTGAAATTTTAATGCGTCTCACCCAAAAAAATTTTTGACTCATAAATATACTGATGTAAAACATCCAGTTGTGGTTGAATCAGTAAATTTAGGCAGTCACATAAAAATTTCATACAAATCAAAATCAAAGCTTAAATGTCATCTGATAGTCTGTCTATATCTTTCTCCCAATTTATACTTATTAATTTTCTGATAAAATAAATTAATTAACTGAAGTATAGTTC